CTGACATTATGGTGGTGTGAAAAATCTGTCCACAGACAGACAAACACACAGACAGAAATATAAAGGCTTGGTTTCCACTATAGTATGTTTCTCTGGGAGCACATTTTGTAATGACACACACAAACACAAGGTCAAAACAAAACCAGAGTCACTGAGCGGCATGTTACAATTACAATGAAAATGGACTAGGTTTGATAATAATAAATATGATTTAAACTCCACAGACACACCTTCATATTCTGTCTACCTACATGATATTGGCTTTTCTTTTGAGCTTCTCTTTGAAGAACCCACAACTCTTTGAACTGCCATGTTAAGTTGGCTGTCGTGTCTGGAAGGTAATCTTGCTGAGTTAAAAGTGAAAGTAACAGACAGCCAGGGAGTGATTTTATGGCTGAGAGAAAGAACAACTCTTAATAATTCTGCATCTAGTTCACAGAATCTAAAAGAAGCCCTTAGTTTTTGGGAACATCGTGATCTGAATTCTTTGTATCTTCGTTCAGCCTCATTGTGTCATATCTTGGCTTTCAAACAACTCTTCATGGCCATGTCCCAACAACCAGATTATGGAAAAGATTAGGAAACACTTTTGACAGTTCTATTAAATCTGATTAGTGGATATGTTATGCATATTTTCTGTTTGTGGAATGGGGAACAGAAATGGAAACAAACAAATCATTTCAGAAATATTTTAAATGAGATTATAGGTAAAATATTTTTGCTGTAAAAAAAGTTTGAGTTCGATGATGGGTGTATCTGTGGATAGATTTTGTGAGTGCAATAGCGTGTCAACCGTGTAAAATGAAGTCACAAACTTTAAGTTAAGATCAAAATGAATGTCGAGGTCCAAGATGGGCCTGGTCTGAGCAAGGGGGATGCACCGTTGGACAGATGTTGTGAATGCAAATGTGTGTCAATTAAACAGGATGTCTCAAAGTCACAACAATGTAAAAGATGAGTTTAGTCTGAGCAGAGCCTTGCACCACACTTGGCTCGCGATTCCATCTGAAAATGGTCTTTAGTTTTGCAAGCAATTGTAATTATGCTCTGGCTATATTACAGTATAACATGTGTTTAAATAGACAGCCTGCGGGAGCTAATGGAAGTTAGTTTTGTGAAGCGAAAAATAAAATGTATGGTTTGTTTGCTCTGCACTTGTGTGTGTGTGTCTCTGTGTATGTAATGTGTGACAGAAAACAAGTAATTCCAAGGTATCCAGATATGCGTCACTCTATCCTGAGAGCCGAGAGGGTTGTTTTTAGAAATAACAGACTGGTGAGAGTAGGAGGAGGGTTCTGTCACTTTTCCCTTTTCCCCCCTCTTCCCACATCTTTTACTTTCTTATTTTCTCTGTCTTTCTTTCTGACCACAGGCCCTTCTCTTACTTCCCCCTACTTGCATTTAAGAGAGAAAGCATCATAAGAGATGCTGTATTTCTTTTCAGACTCCTAATCCCTTTTCTATTCATCTTCTTTTCTCCCATGCTCTCTCTTCCACCAGACAGTAAAATGTCAAACACATGATTATCTGCCTCTCTCTCACTTCCAGCTGCCCTTCTCTTCCTTCTTTCTTTTATTTATAACCTTAGGCTCTGATGGTCCTTTAATCAAACCCATTAAAAAGCAACTTTATCTTGGTTTCCTGAAATTAATTAAGTGTTTGACAAGTGAAAGTTGAATTTTTTAATACAGTGCATATGGTTTTGAGGGGTGTTGAAAACTAGGTCAAACGAATATAAACACTGAACATTCAGTTTTAACTATAGATCCTTTATGTAAGCAGTCTAAACAGTTATGCCCCACAAGGACTTCTAATGGGAAAGTTAATTGCTAATCACAAACACTTTTTTTGGAGCACAGCTATGTACTCGAGTCACAAGACTATGGTGCCATACCTAAACCGCCAAAGATTAGATCTCTGCTAAAGCTTCTCGACAAATCCATCACCCAATCGGATCAATTTTGTCACACAATATTCTTCTTCTTCTTTCGTGTAACGTCAGAGGTCCAACTCGGTGTTATGTAGCCATGCCCGCATCTCTGGTCCTACGTCGAAGAGGCTGGCTTCCGAGGGTGGTCTATATAAAGGGCAGGTGGTTATTAAATGTTCGGCAGTCTGTTCAGGGTCACCGCCAGTGGTGTAGTGGGGATGTTTTTACTGGGGGACGCTATTTTAATTAGGTAATCCCAAACAATGCCACACAAGGGCGCACGCGCGCAGTGCACTCACAAAGGTCCACAGAAACTACCGGTATGCTTAGTCCTACTTTAGTTACTGTACTGCAAAAACCAGACGGCGCTGCGTCAACACACACACAGACTCAAAACCATGGACACACTGGCACATAAGTTACATGAACAATTTATAGGCCTAAATTGCATAAGCTACAGTATTGCAACTAAGCAGACCTCTCTCTCTCTCTCTATCTATTTAAAACTCATAACAAACAAACACAATTCCCAAAGTTGTCCTGAAATTAACTTATTAAATAAACAAAACGAAAAATATAGCCTAATTATGCAAACATCATTGAATCTGGACTTGACATTATTCTGATTGCAAATAAGCAGACAGCGCTGCTTTTCACACACACACACACACACACACACACACACACACACACACACACACACACACACACACAACACAACACACACACACGGCACACACACCCACACATCACACCACACACACACACACACACTACACACACCACAGCACAGTGACGACTATCCGTATAAGAAGAGGCTGTGTTCCTGCTAAAGCTCAAGCTAAAATACTAGAGAATCAATAGAGGTCCAAAAATATGAATCACATCAATATTGATCATAACCCAGTTTCCCAGCTTCTGCCTAGCTATTCCTACGTAGCTCTCTCTCAATGTGGTATAATCTGCCGCCGCGTCCGTCCTGAACCTGGAACAGATGCCAGATACCCTCATTGGGCCTACCTC